GCAGGAGTTTGCCCTGCAACTGGAGGGCTGCAGTTTCACGGCCCAGCCCCAGCTTTCAGTGTCCTTGTGTCCTTGGGCAAGGCACTTCACCTGATTGTCTACTGATGGTGGTCAGGGAACCTTGTGGCACCAGTGTATGGCAGCCTCACTTCTGTCATTAAGTGCCAGGGAAGCTGTGGCTATACTGTAGCTCACCACCATCTGTGTGTGAATGACTGAATGTAGAGTAAAGCGCTCTGGTCAAGTTTCCTGACTTGAAGAAAAAAAAAGCACTACATAATTACAGGCCATTTACCATTTACCTGATATATTACCTAGAGTACATTGGCAGAATGGGTCTTTTACTGTAGTTTACTGACAGGCACCAATATACTGCCATATTCTTAAGGGGAAACCTCTGTAGTTTGTATTAATTTAGTCAATAAACCTTTTAAAGTCACCAATTTAGCTAAAACAGCACAATGTTTAGTAAGATTTTGGCATTTTTATACTTATGTATAAATAGAGTTGGAATAGTGGAACACATTACAATGATTTCAAAATAAATGTATATATTTAGTTAATATTTAAGCATATCATGAATAATTCCTGCCTATTCTCTATATTTTAATATTGGAAAGCTGACAGGTTAATGGTAGGTGGGGAAATTGGGTAACCCTTATAATTTGTTGCAAACTGTTCTATCAAAGTAGAAATAGCTTGAAATAGGTCAAAGAGGGACACAGCAGTAGAAACAGCATGCAGATTTTTTTTTTAAGATATAAAATAATATAAAAAAAAATGAAAATGTGTTTCTTATATTATGTAAGATATTGAGTGAATATAGAGTTGTTGTTGGTGTGTTTATAGAACAAAACCAGTTAGGTTCTTTAAAAAATGTGTTTTATTATTTATTTTTGCTAATAAATTATGAAAGGGAAAATTGGTACACTCCAATCTCTGCATTAGGGATTGGTGTATCTCTAATTTCTATTCTGATGGGAGTGGTATCTCTCATGTTAAGAACAGTATTATTAATCCTTAGGAATCCCATAAAGGATTTGTTGAGTAAAACATAAATGATATGCAATGGTCTTTGTATTCACCGTATCCAGCAGAGATTATTGGTGGTTGTTTTATAAACTTCCCCTCCATTCAACTTAAACTCCCACTATTTCATCCTTCTTATAGAAACTGTTATTGTTGGAGTTGCATTAAATCTGTTTTGGGAGCATGAATGTCTCATATTCTGCTATATGTTTAGAATTATGTTCAACTAAAATTATATGCCTTTTTCATGTAAAATGTATTTATTGAAGAATCTCTCCTGTAAGGACTACACAAATATTGGACACCACATAAATAAATGTAATGATTAATTTCATAAACAACGGCAGATCAAAAATAGGGCATAAGCTGTCGAAAAGGAAGTAAAGAAGTTAAATAAAATGAATTGTTGCTTAATCCCGAGCTATTCATGCCAGAATTTATTAAAATACTGAATGAGTCCATGTCGGGGTTTTTTTTAGGTTAAAGAAGCATTTGATCTCTAGGAGCAATTTCAGAGACAACAGATATGGCAGTAATGTGATTGCTTCTGTCATCATGATTCAACAGATTACACATCTAATCAGTAAAAAGAGAATATAATTTGCACAGATTACAGAGCAGTGGTGGCTCATGTTTGCTGAAGTTGGGATGTTTTGACTGTCGAAACGGATGGATGGATGGATGGATGGATGGATGGATGGATGGATGGATGGATGGATGGATGGATGGATGGATGGATGGATGGATGGATGGAAAGACAAATAGGGTGGAAGTCACCAACCACCTGCAGTAATCCATGATGTAAAAATATCTGATTCCGCTGTTTACGGGGACAATAGGATCATCACATGTGGGATAGAATGTATCTTGGGTGCAGCCCTCTTTCACATTTAAAGACGACACAAAGATACTGTTGAACTGCAAAGCTATGCAGAATACATAAACTACGAAGCAAAGGAAGAGAGGGGATGCACAATGAAATTACAGTGACTCAGTTGCCGTAATGTCTCTGGGGTATATGGATAGTTGTTTTATGGGGGGAGATAAGAGGATTTCGTCAGTTTGAGATGCTGGCTAATGCTATTGTTTCTCCTGGGAGCATAAAGGAGCAAAGATGCTTTTCACACATCTTTCCTTCCTCTGTAGTGCTGTTACTGGAGATATAATTTCAAAGAGCGAAGTCAAATTTATTATAATTTTTCAGGGCATGTGCATGGAAACAACCGTGTCATTAATTTCTTTAATAAAATGTAAGGAACTCTCTAAACGTATTAAAATTGTATACTTTTTTGAATTACAGTGGAGAGTTTGGTAAATTCAGAACAATGTTAACACCTTTTTCTTGCAAAGACCCACCTACAAGTATATCTCAGAGGTTTTTTTGAACAATCAGTTAGGGTTGGTTCAGTTTAAAGACACTGCTAAATTTAGGTCACCTCCAAACTGTTTTTAATATTTTTGAAACTGCATTCAATTTTTTCACTGCATGCTTTATCATCTCACTTTTTGTCCTCCTAGCTAAATGTGCTTCCAAGGATGCAAGTTATTGTGCAATCTCGAGTACACTACTGATACACCACTGAGGTGTTTTTTAAGCAACACAAAGACTGTAGAGCTTAAATGTTATAACCGAATACAGAATCTGTGGCATAGAAGTTCTCATCTGCAGGAGACACTAATTACATTTAATCCTTAAAAAAAATGCTTAAATCTGACTTTGACAAAACAAGAAAACCCTTAATCTGCTGATGTGTGAATAGCTAGCTGTGTTTAAAAACACACACACACACACACACACCTACATACAGTACATACATACAATATAAATACACATATACATGTGAAAAAGATATATATATATATATATATATATATATATATATATATATATAAATCTGGTACAATAGGTTTCTCTCTCTTATCTGCATTATACACTTCACATTTTCATTTGAATAAAGTGACATTAACCTATTAATCTAATTTGCTTCACACATCAGGCTCATTGAACCTTGAAGCAGTACATTTCAGTGATTTAGAATATCATTCGAATGTTAATTTATTTATGTAGGTGTTACTAATATTTTTGAGTTATTACACACAGACTCATTTTTGCTGAAGGTTTGTTTTCGATATTTCTGATTAGATCAGACATCTCATCATTTGGCCAACACAATCATGAGGAGGAATGACCTACACGTAGTCACGGCAACAGTCAACGACATCCTTTATTATAATAGGACATCACTATAAAAAAAAATGTTGAACAGTTTGGTCAAACAAATTAGAAAAAATAAAATTGTGTGGCAGGATAAAGAGCAGTAGAATACAGTGTCCAAGCATCACGGATAAATAAAGTATTTGGAGGATAGTAAAGAAAAGCACATTCAACATGGAGGGAGATTCACAAGGCATGTTCTCAGACTGGAGTCACAAAAGCCACCACACCCAGATGTGTTCAGGAAATGTGCTTCAGCTGAAACAAACCTCTCCTGAACCATATACATACATCGGAAAGTGTAATCAGAGCAAATTAAGAATCAAACAAGACTTTTATTCATTATTTCAAACTAATTTTAGAATTAATTTTGTGTGAAAAAGTCTCAAAGCCTGGATGAGGAGTTGAGATGCCCAGAATCCAAGCTACTTAAAGATTGACTCTCTGATTGACTGGGCCACAAATTATTTTCCAAAGTTCTAAATGTTGTCAAGTTTAATATGAAATCCGAGACACACCAATAAAGAGAAGTAACAAGAAAGTTATAGGAAAAAATGGGCTTCCTTTACATCTTAGCACGGCCACAGGCTGATCATCTCCATGCAACACCACACTAATGCAGCAATGTATGGAAAAGGAACCCCAAGCAAGTACTGGGGGCAGATGGTCTACAACTTCTTCAATATGCTGTTCAGTTGGATAACATTTGTGCATCAAGCATCTTGTTTAGTGGTCTGGTGTAATTCAAAGTTGTCTAAACTTTGAATTTTCATCAGGTATATAATATTGAAAATATCAAAAAATAAAGATCTAAATTATACTAGTCTGTGTGCTGGATATTTGACTTTCCCTTTTCATTGAATTAGTGAACATTTTTAGAAAATCAAAATTTATTACAATGCCACTTAAACAGTATATAACATAATTCAAAGAAGAGTAGAGTGAAAAAACAATAAAGGTTTTCTCTTTTTTTACAGTAAAGTTTGGACTAAAGACTGTAAAGGTCTTAATCTGGAATGATAAGACAGTAGGGAAAAAAGTTTGATCTAAAATTAGATATTAGGTAAAAGGCAATAGTCTGTGAAAGGCTGATTTTCATTCTATGAGGGTAAAACAGACATGAGTGCAGGAGCTGTGCCTCAGCTCATCAGTTCAGATATTTTCTGATCTCCTATTTCTGTGGGTAAAGGAAAAAATATTATGGACAAAGTGAGTTTAAAAAGAAAACTTGGGTACATATAGAGTAAATCCACTCACGCCTAAGCACGCATGCACATAGCTTACACTGCTGCAGCTTCTCCAAACGCAGCTGAGCGCACCAACTATTTTCCACATAGCGATGGCAAGATAATAAACCAAGCCACGGGCATCTTCAACTTCTGAAGAAAATTTTAGAGGAAGTTGCTTGAAGGGCAAAAAGATAAATGGATAAGGAGGGCTGCTGAACTGGGAGTGAAAAGGAAGCGCTCAGGCAGCACAAATCTGCGCGCTTGGAAGCGGAGGCGCACATGCGTTTTTTTCTTTCCAATCAAAAGAGAAACATTAAAATGCAAAGAGCTTCAGAAATACAGATACGTCAGTTGTTTGATGTCTTAAAGGGTGGTATCATTATTATTTTTTTCTAATCAAGAGTAGATTTTATTGGGTTTTAAACCTTTTAAATCAGCATTGGAAGCATGCACCTGTGCAGTTTTCCAGCAGGTGATTTCCAAGAAATAAACACAAATCTTTTTCTCTTTTCATAAGTACAACTCACCTTCTGTAGGATCCACTGACAGAGGAGAATTGTGGTCCAACCGAGAACCTGCATGTCACCTTCCTAAGAGCGGACCACCCCGAAAAACTTCACGTCTCCTTAGCAGAACATAAAAAGGCACGCAGCTGAATCCCAGCAATCCCAGGAGCGGGAACAGGTGACCGGGGGGAAGTGTCAGGGAAGCAGGAACCACGCTGAAAGTGGCAAGTTCGATTTGCAAAGAGTCACAATTGTCTCCGTGGGCAAACTTTGAAGGTTGTTTTTAGTTTCTCGGCTTCGCCTCATGTGGCACATCCGCGGTGCTGGTCCCCGTGGCACATGCTGGATCGTCGGTGCGAAGTTTGCGCGGAGACCAAATCAGTGTGAGATCTGGCTCCTTGGAGGCTCAGGAGCGCTTCTCGTGTGCTGCTGGGACAATGGATGTTTGAATTGGAGAGATGCGATCTGTCGCGCAGAGGAGCTCTTTCTGTCTCTCCTGTACACTCCCTCTCCGTCCTGAAGGCGCACACCTGATTTTTTTCCTTACTGAAAAAAAAAAACAAAAACAACTGCATGTGGAGCAATTTATCCAGTCGATCTTGAACATTATGCCTGAACTCCCAGAAAACTAAGAAATAAAAATCAGGCTTATTTCCACATCTAAAAATCATGAAGCTTGTCAAATATAATTGAATAATCTCGTTAAATTATCTGTTATGGTTATATCACCTTGATCATTTCAATACGTTCATTTACTGACAATAAATCATTTATTTTTTTCTTTTTGTTTTCGTTATCAGAGACAAAGCAACTAAACCTACACAAGAGCAAAGGACCAAACTACCCTAATAGCCTCCTGGGACCTCCACGTCAGCAGGGGGCCCCCCAAGAACGCATCATTTCTCACAGAATATTTTGATCAATACAATTGAAAGTTATTTTAAATTTACAATATAAGAAACCATTATAGTTTGACATGCATGATGGAAATCATAATCCACAGACACCCTTCACTGAGTCAGGACTGAAAAGCAAATAAAAATAATGTATGTAAATGATGGTCAAGGAAACTCATTTAGTCACATAGTTCATTTGATTGAGATCAGGATCCAACACAATTAAAACCTTTGGCAAAATATAATTTTAGTTTTCACATGGATTCAGCTAAATTGGTTTAAAGTATGCCAATGAGCTTGATGGGTAAATCATATTAGATTCATTGGTTAAAGTCACTTTATTCAAATGAAAATGTGAATTGTATAATGCAATGTCTTTAGGGAATTCGGGAGGATTTACAAAAGAAAACAATAAAAACACACAGCAAAAACATATCACCAAATCCAAGTGTAAGAGTTAACATTAGCATTATATAATTAAAAAGCATGATAAACATTTTATAATGTGATTCCAAGTTGCTGCAAAGAACTCTTTAACAAAGAAAAGGTGCATGGCTGATGCTTGCTGACATTTTTATATACATTATATGCTAGCCAACGTAAATCATGTAAGATCTCTTGGAAATGCAAAGCATCAGTTTTTGTGTAAACAATCACATCTGACAACCTCCATTTTCATCAGGGAGATTTACAAATATATTGTTCAAAGGAACTGCTTCTCCCTGACCATGGGCGATGGTGGCAGGTTAGTCCCTTTTTGTTTAAAATATGTTGTTACTGAATGATATTCTCATATAAAACCTTATAGGTTTTTACATGTATGCAAATATGACCAAAAAACAAACAAACGAAGAGCCCACTTTGTAAATGAATCTTTCTGGGATATAAGCAACAGGTTTCCGAACTAATAAAACAAAATGCTAAGCAAACTGGTGTAGAAATTTGTATATTTAGTTATATATTAATCACAATTTCTATACAGAAAGAAATACCATAACAAAACATTACAATGTATTAACTTAGCTAAATACATTCTATAGTAATAATAAATATTTGTTTATTTAAGTCCTCTAATTTGGCCGTTTAAAGGGGAAAATAAGAATTGGTTAATAATTAAGTTGGTTAGCTTCTGTTAAGACTTTTGTGCCATTTCTTTATTATGTAAAGTTAGATACAAATATAAATTCTTTAGGACCAATTTTTTTAAATCACAAATTCCTTTGACATGCATTGGCAACCTGTGCAGGGTGTACTCTCTGCTGCAGACAGCTGGAGACATAGCTCCCTAGTTTTAATTTCAGTTCACTGCCTGCCAGCTAATTTTAGGATTCATTTAAAAATCCTTTTATTTTGTTTTAAGTCTTTAAATGGCCTTGCCCCCCTCACCACCCTCTTAAGCACCACTTAGGTCAGCGGATCCATTACTCATGTCAGTACCCATAACTAGGAGTAAACCCAGAGGGGACCAGGCCTTCTCTGTAGCCAATCCCAAACTCTGGAATCATTTGCCACTATATATCAGGCATGTTTCCTCTTTGACCAATTTTATATCTCATTTTAAGTCTCATCTGTTCTCTCTGGCTCTTAATATTCAAAGGAAAGGTGGTGGTTGCATTAACATTTTCTTGTTTTATTTTCTATATTATTTTTACATGTTCATTTCATATTGTTTTTATTATTCTTAGTGCATTTTACGATGTTTGTATTCCTGGTTTTCTGCAGCAGTTTGGTTCTATTGTTTTTTTTGTTTTAAGTTGGATTAGATTATAACCATTTTATAAACTGATCATGTTTCAATTAAAGTCTGCATCATTTTAATGGTTAATGTAAAACATTTTCCAAATTCTTTTTCATAGAGTATGGGGAGAACTGAGGCAGCCATTGCTGTCAATACTTCTTTTTTATCCTACATGTTGTAGGAGGTAATATGTGTTTCTTTCTATGCTGCATTTCCTATTCCATTAATGACTGTCTAGAGAAAGTGTATTTTTTGATATCTTGTATGCAGTTTTTAGTGGGAGTCTTTGGAGCCCAGGCAAATTCACTGACTCTCCTCAGTGTGTGAACGACACAGCACTGCCTCCTTGTGAGCCAAAAGCTCACTGCACACAGGGGGCAAGCAAAAGGCTCCGTGGACTCAGCCTCAGGAAGCCTGTTTTCACAGAGGAGGCGTGGAGAGGGTGAAAGATTTAAATAAATCAGAACCTTTCAGTAAAATGTGCCAAAATTTCAAGCTCAAATTTCAACATGTTAAACAAATCAAATTACATTCCACAAACAGCAGTGTAAATACTCATCACACTTTCTAATTAAACTTGTTAAAGCTGTGAAGGAACAATTTATTTGCTGTTTTATAACACTTTTGTTTGTTTCCCAAAAATAGAGACTGAAACTTTTTTATCATAATATCATGTCATATTTTATCAAACAATTCAAGTTTGAAATCTCCCTTAGCCATGATCTTTGCCTAGGATTATTTCTTGCATGCCCTGTTGAATGAATAAATGAATGAATAAATGAATGAATGAATGAATGAATGAATGAATGTATTTAGGAGAAAAATAAAAATATATGCCGTATGTACAATGTATAATGACTAAAAGTTCCGATTGATGTTCATTGCCCTTCTTCCATCTAATATCTTTCTAAAATAAACAGGTGGACCTTTTGTTAAACAGTCTCATTGCTTTGTGTTCCATACTTTCACACCTTTTATTGAATTGCACATTATATTTCAGAATATGCAGGTTGTGTAGACTTACACTGCCTCTCACAAGGACTGCTGAATACTTCCACTCATATCAATATTCCTGTGGCCATTGATAATGGCTACATGAAACTCAAAATTTCATTGTTTGAAATGTAATTGAAATGCTGCATTTTTAATCATTTCAAGGCCAAAAAAAAAACATGTTTCAGTTATGAAAAAAGGATTCTTGAGTTTCTATTGTAAGTTGACAACTTATTTTACTGTGCGTTGTACCTTTTTTCATGCCCACTGTTTCTTTAGTTTTCCTCTGTCCACAGCACACCTTCACAGCATCATAAGGTTCTAGGAGAAGGGTCATTTGGAGAGACTGTTCAGTCACACCAGAGTGGACTTCTTTGTGAAACTATGGCAAGGAGTAAACTTTTTATCATAAATATTGCAGAACTGCAAAAACTCTGAGCTTAATCTATATATCTACTGTATATCCATTTGTCTATATATATATATTTATCTGTTTGTCTGTCGGTGAGGGTGTGTGGGTGTGTGTGAGATATTTACAAATGTAATATAGAAAAAAGACAGTTTGTAGAGTCAGGAAAGTCTTCATATTTTTCAACCTGTATATTTTGAAAAAGAAAAATCAAAACAACAGCAAGTGATACTTGCTGGCTAAGTTAATGGTTCGTTTTGGTTAAATCATAAAATCTGGGGGGACAGCTAAAATGGGCAGTGAAGCAAGGAGCATTTGTATGCCAAAGAACAACAGCAAAAGGTCAGTTCACATTATAAAAAGGATACACTATGATGATTGTGCAATTCTGAGAAAATAGAATACATGTTGTTTTTAGTTTTTGATTTTTGTAAGCAGCAACAAAAAGAAAAAAGATTAACATCAGATTAACATAAAGCATCTCTCAAATTTGTAAGGATATGTAGAACTACTTCAGACTGTAATGCTTAGAAGAAAAATAGCTGGTTTTCTAGGCCTTGTTAAATGTTTTCCAAATAGTTAAAGTTTCTATAGCTCAGGTCAACAAATAAATTAGTTGTTAGCAAAATATCAATTGCATATCAAACATTAGTTCAATTATCAAGTGAATTACTTTGCTTCATGGACTCTGCTTGCCTTCTATAGGGGAGTGGCGACCTATTGGTTAGGGCATAGAACTTGGAATCCTGAGCTACTGAGTTTGAGCCCCACACCCACAGACTGCCACTCTGGCTTCCAGAGAAAAGACCCTTCATCCCACACTGCTCCCCAGGCACCACTAAAGGGCAGCCCACAAATGACAAAAAAAAAAAGCTGGAAAAAAAGCTGGAAGCTGGATTTGAGATGGTTTGGCCCATTTGTTTGAACAAATGGTACTGCCATTCTAGAGAAGAAGTTGATGTGAAGTGGAGGAGTGTAAATAGTTGTTTACCTGGACAACAGACTCGACTTCAGACACAGATGTGAATCTATCTATATGAAGTGGTAGAGCAGACTGTACTTCTAAAGGAAGTTTAGATCCTTTAGTGTTTTCAGCAAGATTCTGCCATCATCTGTTGTTGTAGCAGCATCTGAGCAAATTATTAAAGAAGCTCAACAAGCTGATAAAGAAGGTTGGTTCTGTTCTAGGAATGCTAGTACCTTTGGAGATTATTTTTCAAAGGAGAATTCTTCAATACATACAAAACATTATAGAAATCCCCAAGCATCCTCCTTATCAGACTGTTTAGCAACAACAGAGTGCCTTTTGTCAGAAGCTTCTCCAGATCTGCAGCAAGGCAGAGTACTTCTAGGAAATGGCCTTAAACAACTGCAACTCAATAAAGAATTAAATAAGTACTTAACTCTGTGGCCTGGTTCAATATAAAACTCCTCCATTTGATAA